CATTCTTACCCCGAGTCCACGAGGAAGTCCCAGAGCTGTTTGAGTGCAGGGTTTCCCCTCTGCTGGCAGAGGATGCTGTTGTTTGTCACCTCCCTGACACCTGTATTGTCACCTTCGAGCACGATGTGCTCAGGGACGAGGGGCTGTTGTTCAAGAAACGCTTGGAGGACAACGATGTCAGAGTCACCTGGCACCACGTGGAAAAAGGCTTCCACTGCACAATAGGGTTTTTTGGATATGGCATTTTCTCTTTTCCATCATCAAGTACAGTGGTGAACCACGCTGTAGACTTTATAAAAGGCTATTAAAATATTTTCTTTCACACTGCTGTGCAAAGAGAGTGTGATTCAATTCACTATTTACTAGTTATTTGTACATTAGAATCTAGGCAAGAAATTCTGACGTTAGCATGGTCTGCTTGGTTCTGATTTTTACTGCTATAACTTAGCAACATCATGTATTTTTATTTTTATTCTTTATTTTGTAAGCTTGCTTTGCTGTTCTCTTCTTGCATTGTAAGAATTTGTGTTCTCTTTGTGTGTCAAAGAATAAAAACTCACCATATCAAAAAAACATTCAAAAGCAAGCAGTGTGTGAGTAATCAGCAGTGTGCACACCCATGCCCCCAGAGAGCAAAATCCCCCAAAATCAGCATGGCAGCACAGGGAAGTGCCCCCCAACACCTCTGGAGAGTGAAAATACCTTCACTACTTCAACTTGCTTACCTGGATTTTGGGGAGATAATATGTAAACAGCGTGGAAGCTGCCAAGATAATTTCAAAAAGAGGAAGGAAAAGAAAAATCTGAGCTCAGTTGTTATATTGTTATTAGGGCAGATCCAGCTTTGGTAACCACAGATGCCAAGATAATTGGCATTGCACAGCAGCCCTGCTGGGCACGCAGGGCCTAGGCATTGTAAAATATTTGACATTGTGCAACCACCCAGCACCTGTGATATCCATGCATGCACAGCTGTGGAGAGAGGTTGGTAATGTCTGTTCTCTCCCAGGCAAACTGTGAGTAGGAAGATGATGGTGGGTTAAATTAAATATGGTGACAGGTAGGCTGGTGCAGATTTCTGCAGCAACAAGTCGCTGCTTGTGAATGCTCCTTCTCCAGTCCCTCTCAGCAAAATGAAATTCTATTTCTTCATGTTCTGTTGACACAACAGAGAGTTTATCTGGTTCATTTTTCCTATTGCAGGTAGTAGCAATTTGCTCTTCAAAGAAATTCTTCCAGGAGTAACTAATGTGATAAGAGTTCCAAATGTTCCACTGTTGGAGGATTTCAGGATTTGCCTTGGTTATGCAAGGGCATGATGTGAAGCTGGGGATTCATTTTGGTTTCTGCTTTCAAGATGTGGCTTAGCAGCTCACAGGTTGGGAGCTGAAGCCAGTCCAGCAGTTGGTGTGTGCTCAAAAGCCATGTGAAAAGCTGGAGAATATTGGAGCAGTTAATCCCTGTCTGTCCCACCGTGGCTGTGCTGTTACCTGGGCTGGAGCAGGCAGGCCTAAAGGTAGTTTGGGTGAGACCACATGAACTGCAGTCCAGCCTGTGAGAGTTGTTAGGCTTATCTTTATTCAGATGATTTTCACTCCTGTCTCTCTGTTTGCACCTTCCATACCAGGCCTGGTTTTTTATGACTCTCGGCAGGTACAGAGAAGGTTGGAAGTGCTAGAAATAAGGATGTCTGAACAATTCCACCTTGGATTTTAAAAGTTATGAGATGGTTACAGATCTCATGCTATTTTACACTCAATCCTTCAGTGCAGTATTATACTCCTTGTCAGTTAAGCAATACTTGTTTCTTTCCTTTATCCAGTTTCTGGACTTACACCTCATTTATGGGCCAGTGTTCAAACTCTACACTGATCTATTCCTGAGATTCTTCCACAGTCCTTTATCTGTCAGTCGTTAATTTACTACAAATAATACCAAATTTACCTTTATAATATGGCAGCAGCATTATTAGCTCTCTTGAACACACACATTTTAATCATGGGTTATAACCATGGGGTGCAGATGGGTAAGCAGAGAACAGCAAGTGCTGAAATAATGTATTCCTTGGTTAGTCACGACTCCCTTATTTTCTAAACTTTAGAAAGACACAAGATGTAATTGTCTCCATGGAACTTCCTGTCCTCTAATTTATTTTAATTAATTACAGATCTGCTGTGTGTCGTGCTTTGCTCAGATAAGATGTTTGGAGACAGTTTTATAATTTCCAAAACGTGGAACTTTTCAAGTACCTAAAACACAGTGAGTGACAATCAGTGTGACAATCAGTGACACCTACGGAATTATGCACACCAGTGTCCTTCCAAAAGGAATGAATACAGGGAAATACACTCGGATACAAGTGTGCACACGAGTTATGGCACAAAAGAAGCCGTTAACAGCCCTTGTCAGAGCAATCGAGCTCACAGCTCAGACCAGGCTGGCTCAGGTCTCAAGTTCAGGCTTCCAGCACCAGATGGCTCTCACGCTCTGCAGAACTCAACGGGAGCTTCTTGGCTTGCACAGCACCTTCTCTGAAAGATTTCCCAGTATCCCAGTACAGGCACCCATTCACAGGGAGTTCCTGGTGCCACCTAATCAGCACCAAGATCCAGAGGGAGAATCCCTGGGACTGCCTGGAGATGAGGTGAGGGAATGTTTCATATCTGTTACACCTGGCTCAGTCTCTGTGTCCCCCTTGCATGTGCAGCCACAGAACAGAAAAAAATCTTAAGGACTGACAAGATTTCAGGCCCTGACATTTAATTCCTCGCTGGAAATTAGTAAGAAAGGTAGTCCCTGGGGTAGGAGAAAGTGGGACTTTGGTGTGGTCTATCCTCTGGTCAGTCTCACAGGAGCAAGAGAGAAGGTTAATTAATTCTCAGAAGCTGGAGAGGGCATACATTTGGAAGATTATTTAGGGAAGGGTTCTCCACCCTGGGCCTCAAGCTTGTAAATCGCTGAGTCTAAGCTTATAAAACGTTAAGTATGACTTTGTGCGCCTGCGATGCCCAAAGCAAAAAAACCCACATTATTACTTCAGGAACAAACTAGTTTGTTTCTTGTACAGTTTGTACCACATTCCAGCACATCAGGTCTTTGTGTGGAGCCCCTGGGCTTGGTGTGGGGGGGATGTGCTGTGATGTCTGGAACGTGCCTGGAAGAGTCCAAGACCTGCCAGCTGTTGGGGAACTGGCACCAAAAAGATTAAGAACAAAGGAGAACCATAGGTGCTAAGAACCTTAGCACAAAGGATCTGTCACAGGTGTCAGAAGGCTTCTTAGATCCCCAGAGGGGCCAGATCTGATAAGTGTACTTAGACCACACCTAAGTCATTGGCACAGCAGGGTTTAGCCGATTAATTGCTGTCAGTACCAAAGAGGGGAGCTGCAATCACGTTTTGTGTAACAGTGTTTCCCAATGTTCTTGTCTGAGCGATAGGAAAGCTGAACCCTCTGTGCACCTCAGTCCCGAGTGGTTTGACTGCACCACTGCCATTGCCCAAGAGCAAAGAGCCTTTCACCAACATCCCTTATCAAGCTGGGCATCAAATGCTGAGGAGGATAAACCAAAAAGAGCCTGATTTTATGATTAGCATGTGAATAAGCTTCTGGAAGTGGAGGAAGGGGCAGGGGGGACATTGGGAAGTGAAAGTCCACAGAGAGTTGTTGGATAAAAATGAAGAATCAGTTTGGGCAGAGGGAATTGGCTGCTTCTCAGAAATCACCAGATATGAAGTTTCATCCTGTTTATTCTAAACAATTAAGAAACAGTTTCTAAAGTCAGGAATCAAACCTGAGGTCTTTCATATGCAGGCCATGCATTAGGCACTCTAAAGCTCTGGGGTTTTCTATGTTGAGTTTCATTTTAATATACAGTTCAAGGGCAGCTCATCCCTCGTATTATTTTTTTATTATTATTTAAGGAAAAAAAAAATCACAGTCATTTTACCCACACTGCTACTTTTCAGAATGAGAATCTGCTGCCTTCACAGTCTGAGCAGACTGCTGAAAAAACACACTGTTCCCAAAGGTGACATCACATGAGCTGAAAACCTTTGCTTTACAGACCTTTTTGTTTCAGGTTAAATCTTACCACTAATTATTTTTGCATGGAAAAATATGTTAGTTCCAGGGGAAGGCACGGATCCTAAAGCTCTCCACAGAAAGAGTGGGCTCCTGATGTCTAGTCAGTGCCAGTAGCCCTGAAACCATGAAGTCCAAGTGTAGTTTCCATCAGCTGGAATCATATTTGTACCTGGAATGACACCTGTATGTAATATATCCCAGGGGAGACAGAGACTGCAGCACTGCGAGGCTCAGCCAAGAGGCTGCTAAAAAAACAAACACAAACCAACTAAACACAACAGTTGGTGCAGGAGAAGAGCCTTCAAGGATGAGGCAAGACACAGCCCTCCCAGCAGGCTGCAGGTGCTGCTGGCTCCACTGGACTCAGAGATGCAATGGCACAGCAGCGTCCAAAATCTGTCATCACGGGTGATGAAACATGTTTGCAACACTGAACCCTGATTTCAATGAAAGTCTGAAGAGGGAAGGCATGGAGGCACAATAAAGCAGCACACTGAGCAGCTCTGAAGGTGGCTACTAAGAAGGGCTGTTGCTTGGGGACTCACAGGTAACACAGGTCTGCCCCTAATCAGGGAACAGGGAGAGACAAAACAAGTTTTTGTCTTCTAAACTTACCCTGATCCATCCAGTGGTGGTTCTGCTGTGATGGGCACGGCCTCAAAACACAGCCCTGTGTAGCTGTGAATATGAAAAACTGCTTGTGCAAGTCTCTCCCATGACTAATTGCTACTGTCTGTTTAATTGTGTGGTTGGGTTGCCACATGTTTTCATCTTCCTATTGGCATTTTTAAGAGCTGGATTATGAGCTGTGAAGGGAACTGCTAATCCCATGCCTTTACCTTCAGGAATCCAAAAGCCTGAAAAAGGGGAGGGAGCCCACAGCTGGTTCCTCCCTGGGCTCCTACCAGCACAGAGATGGAACTCCTCCTGGCCATTTTTCTCTCTGCTTTGACTGTTTTTGTGGCAATAGCATTCTATTATGGACATGACAAGGCAGAAGTTCCTCATGAATTCAGTGAGCGAAGAAAGCTTTATGTTCTTCACTACTTGCTGAACTTTGCGTTTGGTATGGTAAGTAAAACTTGATTAAAGCTGGAGTTTTTAATTTAATTTCTGTTAGAGGGATAATGATTAGGATAAATGTTCAAATATAATCAGCTGGATTAATTTGGTGATGTGAGCAGATGGTGCTAGCCAGCACCAAAGGAAATGTGGAAAATGAAATTCTGTGCAATTCCCAGTTTTTTCCTGACAGCCTGTGTTTTAGCTTGTTGTTCCTGTTGCCTCAAGACGGTGCTGGAAGGCTTGGAAGGGAAGTGCACGGGGTACGTGGAATTTCTGCTCTGCATCGCCCCGTGCTGACTTACAGAGGGAGCAATCAGATGATGTCTGTGACCTCCTCTCCAGCCCTGTCACTCTGCTCCCGGGCCGCCTGAGAGAGCTGCCACGTTCACAGTCTTTTGCCTTTCAAAGAAGCTAAACGACTTTCTTTTTTGAGACAGTACACATAATATATAAACTGACTTTCAGTGTCGTTGCTTTTGGCACGTTTAGGATCCTCCCTTGCTTCTCTTCAAAGCTAGAACGGGACTTGCACTTGTCTTTCTGTCTCATCAATCATCCTGCCCTGAATTAATTATTGCCTCTATCATCTTAAAAACACTTCTCCTGTGATACCTAAACCAAACTTCTTTTCTTTTAGTTGTCTCTTTGGCTCATGCATTACATTTCACTTCAGTTCTGTGTTCTAATGTTATTAATTCTCCTTTCCTTTTTCTGCTCTGTTGCTTGTTAAGTTTTGTTTGCAGTCAGGCAGCGAGCTCCCGAGGAGGTGACTCCCATCAGCTCTGGAGCCCTGCCCTACCCAGGCCCCAACACTGCTACGACAGCAAAGCACTAAAATAGGATAGGAATTGAAGTCAAATTTGATTTTCTTACAGCTGTTGTACAGCGTGTGAACTTCCAGATTTTCTAAAAGCTGTATGTTTACCCTTTATCCATCGAAGTTTTGTCTTTGTGTAATTCATTTGTTAAACTGCAGAATTTAGAAATTTGCTGCTGGTTGATGTGGTTTTTAACTTCTGAACTTACAATTTTGTGTCCTTTCTGCTGGCCAGGCACGAGCAACTCAAAGGAGCAGAAAGACAAGAATATTAATGTATAGTTAAACCAGAATTTAAATGCAAGTTCAAGTCGTGTAGCAACTCTTGCTTTTGCTGTTGGGCAAATTCCGTACGCCAAAGTAGCCAAATCCTTTCAAGGGCTGACAACCCATGATGTCAAAACTTCATGGAAAATTAAAGTTTACTAGTATATCCAGTCCCCAGCTGGGACGAAAGCCAACACTAAACACAGAGGAGAGAGAAGTGAGAAGGACTCCTAGGACTCCTCTTTTTTCAGTATTTCTAAGACAAAGAAGATCTCTACATTCTATACCAGTAGCTTTAACCTTTGCTGTTACAAAGGTATTAGTGTGAGGAAAGAAAATACCGGAGGGAGATGGAAGATTAAAGAAATAAAATTATTTTCCCACAGACATAAACCAGGAGTTCAGCAGAAGGATTCAGTCTGAGACTAAAACTTTGCCATAGCACGATCCTTCCTGCATGTGGGATCAGCTCCTCAGGTGGCCTAAAACAGGATACCTACACCAAATTTAACAGGACCACATTACTGAGCTGTGTGAGGTCTGTGAAACGGGAGGTGAAAGCCACGAGGGTGGGGTTTTAGGATCCACACAGACCTTTGCAAGTGAAAGCCTCTGACATACATCTGCACGAATAGCGGCAGCACGACTGAGTGAAGTGCTGGTTGGAGATGTCTGCTGTGGAAATCACACAAAACCAACTCCAGGGGAGTGGGAACACTGCAATCCCACCTCATCTTCTTGCTCTGAGCAGGAATAGAGCAGAGCAGCCTACCACTGAACCAGCTTAAAGCCATGGGATGCGATGAAGTCGACAAGCTCAGAGTGCCATAAGAACCTTAGCCCGAGTGTTTAATTAAGAATCAGTGAGCTGTGAGAAGATCAAGCCAGGGTTCACAGCTATTCTTGGTCAGGAGGACAGCTGTGGTAAATGCTATGGAATTTTTTTTTTTTTCTGCAAGTTTAAAAGTAGTGTGAGCTTGGGAAATGAAATATTGGCCAGGTTTCTTCATCCAAAGATAAAATGCTGTGACTACTCTCTCCTTATTTTGCTCTGAAACACCTGACAAAGTGAAGTATGTGACACCTTCTTCTATCTACTGTTAATAGCTGCTTTTTTTTCCTACTGAATTGACCATGCAGCTTTAATTTTTTAATGATCAATCTCCAGTTTAGGTGGAAATTTGCACTAATTTTTGGTTTCTTTTATTAACAGGCAACATTTTTGGACAAAGTAGGTATCGTCTCAGAGGTTCATTTCCTCAGGGCTACAATGGAGAATATACCACCACTGAAAGATAAACACCTTCTTATCAAGGACTTAAGATTTGAAAGGGTTAAAGTAAGAATTTACCAGTGCAAAACGTCAAACACTAGCCAAAGAAGAGGAGTCCTTTATTTCCATGGAGGAGTTGGATGGTTGGGAAGCATCCGTGAGTAACCCAAATATAATCTGAGCTCTGACTGCACACGAGTCACGGGCTGGGGGAGGCTGGAAGGGACCCCAGTGGTCCCACCTTTCTGCCCCAGCAGGGTCATCCCGCAGCACACGGCACAGGATTGTGTCCTGACAGGGCTGGAATATCTCCAGGGAGGGAGGCTCCACACCCACCCCTCATGGAGTTTCTGATCTGATCTGATCTTTCATAAATTACAAGAAGAATTAGTAGGTTAAGCATTATAAGTAACAAAATTAATTTCAGAACAGCAGAATAATTTGATTTCCATGCAGTAGGCATCATGTTAAATTGCCTTTCTTGTGTCTCTGGAATATTCTCTGATCATTTTTTTCCTTCCTCCTCAGGCTTGTGAAGAAAGTTGAAAATCTCCTTAGAACTTTATTTCTTATTTTAAAGCACCCCTTTTGTGTTCACACGTGTGTGCAAGCTTCTGTGTGTGTGTATCCTGCTGTGGGTCTTTATAGTGGCCAAACAAGAACAAGACATGTTTTGGTGTTTGAAATGGAAATGCCTAAGAGATGAGGTGGTGCCTCGTGCACAAGAAAAATTCTTGTGCTGGATTTAGTGGGAGTTTTTGTATTTATTTTTTTTTTTAACAAATTCTCACTTTCAAAACCACTTTAGAAGTGGCAGCAGTGGTGCAGTCCATTAACTGACTTTTCAAAGAGGGGACCAAAGCAGTGCACTGGTGTAAATTCCAGGTTTCTTGCTGGCAAGGAGATTCCCAGAGATGTAAGGGAATGGTGAGCACTGCCCAGATTAGACCGTGCCACGACGAGGGAATCACAGTGTGGCATCAGTCACACCACAGAGATCAGGATTGCAGAACATCAGGTTGTTTTTAAAGCCAGTTACAGTCATGGAAACGTTTTGTTTTCCAGGGGCCTACGAAAGAACGTGCCGCTACTTGGCCAGGAAGAGCAACTCAGTGGTGGTGTCTGTGGGGTGAGTGGAGTCAGACACACACTGGCAGCAATCTGTGCCTCCTCCTGGGTCTGTAAACATTTAGCCAAGCTCCTTGTAAAGCACCTGCATTTAATGATCCCATGTTTCACCAGCACTAATTTCTCTTGAGAAGAATTAGTCAACTAATCCCCACTTGTTCATTTGCAAATGAAATCCATTACAATAATTTTGTAATTTGTTGCCACCGCTAAGAGCTGAGGATGTTTTTGTTTTCTAGAGCCATATGCAAACCACCTTAAGCTGAAAGCCTGAAGTGTTTCTGTTATAAGCACAGTTGCCCAGGCCACCAAATACTCATTTTAGTAGTTGAGAAAAACTGAAGGGATATCCACATTTAACTTGCAATCAACCTGAGATGAACATTAAAAGTATTTTCCCAATGAATTGTAATGAATTTTTAAGAGAACCAATTTATAAAAGTTCAGGAAAAGAGCTGATGTCTTGAAAATTGATTACAATTGCACTAAATGCTATTTGCAAGCTAAAATACTTGAAGAACCAATACCTCATTGATTCTGTTTAAAGAATTCACCTTACAGAACACCCCTGTAAACCTTTCAGATTGTCATTATCAATTTTCTATGCTCATGATCTCTAACAATGTGTTGGGAAATGTTCACTTCAGTTTCTAACTGGAATTACTGTAACCGATTCAGACACACCTGCCCTGGCAGCTACTTCCAAAAGAACTCTGCTTGTGCCTTTAGTTACCTAAAAGATAGATAGAGAAGTATTTTGTAAAGACAGAACAGTGTTCTGACTCTCCCAAACGTGAATAGTAGCAAATAATACATCAACAGCACCAATTGGGATCAATTCCCTTGCTGTAATTGTGATCTCAGGATATTCTCCTGTCTTCAGAGAGAAGGAGATGAACAACAAGAGGCCAAGGGGCCCATTCACTGGTTGTGACTCTGCTAAAACACTTTTCACTCCTCTGAACACGAGCCAGAGTGTGCCCAGGTGGCCAAAAGGGCCAATGGATCCTGGCCTGGCTCAGGAACAGGGTGGCAGCAGGAGCAGGGAAGTGAATCTTCCCCTGGACTCAGCACTGGTGAGGCCACCCCTGGAGTGCTGTGTCCAGTTCTGGGCCCTCAGCTCAGGAAGGACATGGAGGGGCTGGAGCAGGGCCAGAGAAGAGCAACGAGGCTGGGGAAGGGACTGGAGCACAAGTGCTGTGAGGAGAGGCTGAGGGAGCTGGGG